ATAATTGGATGTGATCTGAGCCCTTTATTTCAGGAGCAGTTTATTTGTGGTTTCAGTGAACAGAGAAGGAACATGTCACCCCTTTTGGTGCTCAGCTTTATCCAAGCTGGATCTTTGGTAGGCATTATAGTCAGTACCGGGATTACGGGTGTGTACCACCATGCCAGCTGGACATTTTTCTGTTCAAATCCCAGTGTGGTTGATGAGAGGTTGGGGTGGGGGATAGCTGCTCCGTGGCCAAGCATGCACTTACTGTGCCTGACACACACCAGAAATGAAAAGAGAGTGGGCGCTTAGACGAATAAGAGTTTGTCCTGGTGACATCCATGAGTATTACTTCCCTTCCTAAATCTGAAGTGCAGGACTGCTTTTTCCAGTTCTAAAAGATAAGAGAAACTATATGGATTGTCAGGATTCTTTATATTAAACCATACTTCTCAGACCTTTCGCTGAAATACCCCTAGACTGCTCAGTCAATATGTGGACAGTACTGGGCCAGTGTGGAATCCTTGGAGTTCTAAAATAATCTTTAAAATATTGTAAACCAGGCAGTGGGGGTGCACACCTTTAATCCCAGAACACAGGAGGCAGAGGCAGGCCGATCTCTGTGAGTTCCAGGATAGCCCGGTCTACAGAACTAATTCCAGGACATCCAGGGATACACAGTGAAACCCTGTCTCGAAAAATTATTGTATATTTTGCTCTATTATGTATGTATATATGTTTGCCATTGTATTAATAAAAAAAATACCTTGTTTTGGGGAGTGTAGCTCAGGAAAGTTCATGAGACTCAGGGTTCAATCCTCTGCAACACACACCCTCTAAATACTGTATTGGGGTGTGGAAGTCTTCTGTCATCTACTGATTAAATGAGTGCTCCCAGATGAGGTACTAGTTTCTTGTAGAAACCAAAGCACCAAATACATATACATGCCACCATGCCCAACTTTTGATCTTACATTTCTATTATAAAAAATTTGGACACAGCATATATTTTGAAGAACAGGGAATTTATTCATTAAGTGCTAGTTTATCTGTGCAGTAAAGTACTTTGTAGCCATGAAAATCTGTGTAGAAAGCTGGGAATAGTGGCATGCACCTACATTTGTCACACTGGGGAGGTAGAATCAGGAGTTCAGGGTGGTCTGCTGCTGAATGGCAAGTTTGAGGCCAAGAGGCTACATGAGACCCTCTTTCAAAAAAGAGACAACAAACAGTAAGTAATGTGACCAGCACCTGTTGGTACAGGCTTGTAATCCCAGCACTCAGGAGCTAGAGACAGGCAGCTCTCTCTGAGTTTGAGGCCAACCTAGTTTATATACTGAGTTCTGGATAGCCACGGCTACATAGTGAGACCTTTTTTTTTTTTTTTTTTTTTTTTTTTTTTGTTTCTTTCTGGTTTTTCTTTTTGGTTTTTCAAGACAGGGTTTCTCTGTGTAGCTTTGCGCCTTTCGTGGAACTCACTTGGTAGCCCAGACTGGCCTCGAACTCACAGAGATCCGCCTGGCTCTGCCTCCCGAGTGCTGGGATTAAAGGCGTGCGCCACCACCGCCCGGCTCTTTCTGGTTTTTCTTTAGTGAGATTTTTTTTCTTTCTGGTTTTTCTTTTTTTCTTTTTTTCCCCCCTCCTTTTTAAAAAAGATTATTTATTATGTATACAGTGCTCTGCTTGCATGTGTGCCTGCACTCCAGAAGAGGGCATCAGATCTCATTACAGGTGGTTGTGAACCATCATGTGGGTGCTGGGAATGGAACTCAGGACCTCTGGAAGAGCACCCAATGCTCTTAACCTCTGAGCCATCTCTCCAGCCCCTTTTTTCCCAGTTTTTCAGGACAAGGTTTCTCTGTGTAGCCCTGGCCTGGGCAGGGGATAAAAGGACTCAGAGATCCACCTGCCTCTGCCTCCCAAGTGCTGGGATCAAAGGATTAAAAGCATGTACCACCACCACCTGGCTGAGACTCCTTGTTTAAAAAAAAAAAAAAACAGACAAAACAAAATCAAAGCTAGCCTGGCTATAGAGTAAGTTCAAGGCCAGCTCTGGACAGTGTAATTGTCTGAGGACACTCCACCCTCCCCCAAAAATGTATAGAAATACCATGAAGCCCTGGTTCAGATTCTGAACAGGCATACACAAAAGAAGTATGGTGAGCCAGCATGATGCTTGAGCAGGTGAAGGCACTTGGCATCAAGTTTGACCTGAGTTTAATCCCTGGGACTCGCTGGTCGAAGGAAAGAGCTAACTTCTGCAGGTCGTCATGTGACCTCCATAGGCATGCCATGTTACCTGTGTGTGTGCATGCATGCGCAGACAGGCAAACATGAGCACAGATAAATATGCAGTGTATGACTGGGAGGGATTATCTTGGTCAGGTTAATTGAGGTGGAAAGACCCATGTTAATCATCTGTGCCTCCTGACCATGAGTGCAGTGTGACCAGCTGCCACAAGCTCCTGCTGCCATGATGTTGCTATCAGGATAAGACAGGACCTTGGAACAGTGAGCCGGAGAGCCCCTTCCTTGAGCTGCTCTTGTCGGGTGGTTTCTTGCAGTGAGCCAGATGACTCATCCAGCCGTTGGCCTTCTTGGCACACTGACTGTGTTGTTTCTTTCTCTCTCCTTTGTTCTTTCTACCTGTAATCATTTCTCCTCTTCTTTAATGTCAGTATCAAGACCTCTATTTGTTTACATTGGTGGGTGTGGAGATGAGAGGAAAACATTTGAGAGAATTGATTCTCTCCTTGCACCACATGGCTGTCGGGAATCCAACTCAGGGTGTCTGCCTTGGAGTAGGTGTCTTCACGCACTGAGCCCTCCCTGGCCCAGTGTGGTTTGTCTTAATGTCTGGGAAACCGGCTACCTTTGCTCTCCTCTCTATGTTAAATTCCATTCTGGAAATGGATACTGTGTTTCTAGTAATTGTGTAAGGTTCCCTTCCCTGTGGAAAACCATTGTCCTGCGGGTGCATTTATGTGTCCTCCGCACCCCGCCCACATGCATGGCTTACTAATCTTACGTCTGTCTCAGTAACAACCTGTGCTTGCTCTTCCTGCTGTCTGAGAAGGGAAGATTCAGGGAGCCAGAGCCTGAGGCTTTCCTCGCTGCGCTACCAGTGTCTGGTACTGGTCCCAGTAGGTTAGTGTGGAACAGCCGCACTTGAGTGTGTAACAGGGATCTGCATTGAAGCTTCTGCACTTGTGAGTGTGGAAAGCAATTCTGTGCCAGTTCCTCACATCCCTGTGCTCCTCTGGGAAGAGGCAGGATGGTCAGTCCTGCACGAGGTTCTTGGCCATCCCGCTGTAAGTTCAAGGGTGAAGATAGAGATGAGATTTTGATTTTCTGAGCCCTCCGTTCCTAGCCACCTCAGTTTTCACCAGTTTTTAAGCCTTAAGGCTTAAAAGGCTGTACAACTACTTAATAAAATAATTATATACTCAATTTTAAGGTTTCTTTTACTTAATCGTGTGTGTGTGTGTGTGTGTGTGTGTGTGTGTGTGTGTGTGTGTGTGTGTGAATGAATATGTGCATGTTAATGAAGATGCCTTTGTAGGCCAGAGGAGTTAGATTCCCCTAGAGCTGTAATTACGGTGTTTGGGAGCCACCTTACATGGGTGGTAGGAACCAGATGGGTCCTTTGCAGTACCTGTTAGCCACTGGGTCCTCTCGCTAGCCCCTTGTTCTTTGAGATAGGCTGTCTTGTAGCCCAGGCTACCTCACAATTCTGTTCCTCCTGCACAGTACTGAGATTCTAGGTGTGTGCCACTCTACAGTGGTGCCGAATGTTTGAGGTGCCAATAGAAAGATTGAAGAGCCAGCAAGAAGGCCGAGCGGCAGCCGGGTGATGATGGCGCACGCTTTTAATCCCAGCACTCGGGAGGCAGAGGCAGGCGGATCTCTGTGAGTTCGAGGCCAGCCTGGTCTCCAAAGCGAGTTCCAGGAAAGGCCCAAAGCTACACAGAGAAACCCTGTCTCGAAAAACCAAAAAAAAAAAATAATAATAATAATAAAGAAGGCCGAGCGGGTAAGGGTATTTGCTTCTCAGGGTGAAGACAGATGTGTTCAATCCTTGGACCTCCCCTAACCCCCCTCAATGGCTTTTTTTTTTTTTCTTTGTTTGTTTGGTTTTGGTTTTGGTTGTTTCTGTTGTCAAGGCAGGGTCTCTCTGTGCAGCCTTGGCTGTCCTGGAACTCACTCTGTAGACCAGGCTGGCCTACAAAGATCCACCTGCCTCTGCCTCCTGAGTACTGGGTTAGAGGCGTGCACCACCACTGCCAGGCTAGACACCCCCAGAGTGGAAGGAGAGAACCCCATGTTAAGCTTGGACAAAATTTAATACTTTCTTCTTTTTCTTTTTCCTTTCTTTTCTTTCTTTCTTTTTTTTTTTTTTTTAAGTCTACAGCACCTGGTATTCTTAGGTGGTCTCCCATCCAAGTACTAACCAGGCCCAACCCTGCTTAGCTTATGAGATCAGAGGAGATCAGGTGCATTCAGGGTGGTTTGACCGTAGACAGAATCTGTTTCTAATTTGTTGATGTAAAATGTTAAACTTTCCCAGCACTCGGGAGGCAGAGCCAGGGGGATCTCTGTGAGTTCGAGGCCAGCCTGGGCTACAGAGCGAGATCCAGGATAGGTACCAAAACTACACGGAGAAACCCTGTCTCGAAAAACAAAACAAAAAAATGTTAAACTTTAATATTAAGTCATTTTAAGTTATTTCATGTTCCATTTGACTAATGGCCTTAGCTATGCCATTAATAATTCCAAGTGTCCTGCTGTGTTTGGCAAATGGATCTCTGTGAGCCTCAAGGCCAGATGGGTCTACATAGTGAGTTCCAGGCCAGTCAGGGCTACACAGTGAGACCTTGTTTCAAAACAGAAAACAGCAGTGAAACTCCCCAGAGTTTGCTATAGAGGAGACCCTTAATTGAACAAATGAGTGTTTGTACTCAGTGTTGACCACACTCAATAGCAACTGTGTTTTGTGTGCCTCTTTTCTCTTGCAGCTTTTCGTAGTGGATGTCCAGACAGGCCAGATCACCAAGATTCCCATTCTGAAAGACCGGGAACCTGGAGGTGTGTCTCAGCAGGGCTGTGGTATCCATGCAATAGAGCTGAATCCTTCTAGAACACTCCTAGCCACTGGAGGAGACAACCCAAACAGTCTTGCCATCTATCGACTGCCTACATTAGATCCTGTGTGTGTGGGTGACGTAAGTTTTTCCATTGGTCCTCATTAGAACTAACCTTGTTTTAAAACATGGATCCTCTCCTAACCTAGAAAGGGGTGGTTTTTCCTGACTTGGGGGTGAGGGCTAGAACAGAGAGCAGAATGGAGATTGGGATTCCATAGGTAAGAGCTAGGACATGTGTTTGATAGAAGGGCTGTTTTTAATTCACAGGGTCCACGTATCTCCCATTGCCCTGTCAGAAAATAAATGTACCAATTCATCTATAGTCAGGCATTGTTTTTTGCTCCAGGAGCATAGCAGTGAATAAAATTAATAAAGCCCTTGCCTTTAGTACAGTGCTGAGTGTGACCTGTGAACCAGTGTGTGTATCATACAAGTCAGTAACATGTAGTGTGACATACACCATAGAGGAGTAGCAGCGAGTGTGACCTGTGAACCAGTGTGTGTATCATACAAGTCAGTAACATGTAGTGTGACATACACCATAGAGGAGTAGCAGCGAGTGTGACCTGTGAACCAGTGTATGTATCATACAAGTCATTAACATGTAGTGTGACATACACCATAGAGGAGTAGCAGCGAGTGTGACCTGTGAACCAGTGTGTGTATCATACAAGTCATTAACATGTAGTGTGACATACACCATAGAGGAGTAGCAGCGAGTGTGACCTGTGAACCAGTGTGTGTATCATACAAGTCAGTAACATGTAGTGTGACATACACCGTAGAGGAGTAGCAGCAGGCTAAAGGGATGGGTGTAGCGGGAAGATGCTGTTTCAGAGGGAGGCAGAGAGAGCTTTAGTGAGAAGACATGAACAAGGAGAGAGACTTAAAGGAAGCGTGGGCAGCGCCATGGGAGTGTTCCAGGCGAAGAGAAGACTGAGGTAGAAAGCTGGAAGCTGTGTCCTCTGGACATTTTGTTTGTTTGATTTTGGGTTTTGGTATTTTGAGTCAGGTTCTCTAAGTAGCCCTGGCTGTCCTTGAGCTCCTTGTGTAGACCAGGCTGGCCTCGAACTCACTGAGATCCTCCTGCCTCTGCTTCCCAGTGCTGGGATTAAAGGTGTGCGCCCCTTTTTGAATTCTTGTCTGCAGGAGTGCCAGTTTTCTTCTGCCTTTGATTCTTCCCAGATATTCTGAGCTCTTACACTACAGGTTAAGAGCATTAGAGGCCGTGTTTTTGTTGTTTGTTGTTTTACATTTATTTGTGTGGGGGGGTGCACATGCTGGTGCACACGTGGATCTGTGTGTGGGTACACATGGGAATGTGTGTGGGTACACATGCTGGTGCACACGTGGATCTGTGTGTGGGTGCACATGCTGGCACACATGTGGAGACCAGAGGACACTGAGAAGTACTGCAGTACTCCCTTCCTTCGCTGTGGGTTTTGGGGATCAAACTCAGGTCCTCAGACTTGGCAGCACCTCACTTGCCAAGCTGCTTTGCTGGCCCTGTTTTGTTCTACGGCACGGTCTCCATATGTGCTCATGCTGTCCTGGAACTTGGGGTCCTCTGCCTCAACTTCCTAAATTACAGGCCTGTGCAACCATGCCCTTTTGTACTTAAATGTTTTACAAGATATTTCCAGTCTGACCTGTATGCTTTTTAGGAGAATTCATTATGCTCCTTATTTTACTAATCTTTTGTTATTGTTGTTTTCCTCTCTGTTCATGTCACTTACCCTCTAAGGATGGACACAAGGATTGGATCTTTTCCATTGCATGGATCAACGATACTATGGCAGTGTCTGGTAAAGTTGCCCTCCTTTAGGAAGATTTGATGTGGAAAAAGAGGAAGTTTAAAAATTATAGTAGTGTGGGCCGGGCGGTGGTGGCGCACGCCTTTAATCCCAGCACTCGGGAAGCAGAGCCAGGCGGATCTCTGTGAGTTTGAGACCAGCCTGGGCTACCAAGTGAGTTCCAGGAAAAGGCGCAAAGCTACACAGAGAAACCCTGTCTCGAAAAACAAACAAACAAACAAACAAACAAACAAAAATTATAGTAGTGTGATAGAAAATAACCTACTAACACTAACAGGGGCCGGTGTAACCAAGGCTGGTGTAGAACTCATACGTGGTCTAGACTGATCTTGAACTTGCAGCATTCCCTTTGTCTAAGCCTCCTTTCTGCTGATCCTGTAGGATTGACCCACCGTACCCAGCTTAGGGGACTGTTTTCCTCAATCCACCTTAAGTGTTTTAGATTAAGTAATTGGGTGGGTGGGTTCGCTCATGCCTTGGCACACATGGGACCCAAGGGTGACTCTCAGCTCTTAGTTCTCTCCTCCTTCCCAGAACTTGGGAGGTGAAAGCAGGAAGATCAGGAGTTCGTGAACCAGCTTGGGCTATGTTAACACCCAGTCTCAAAGATTAAAAACTAGGAACAGAGGGCTGGACATGGCTCAGCGGTTAAGAGCATGGGCTGCTCTTCCAGAGGTTCTGAGTTCAATTATCAGAATCCACATGGTAGTTCACAATCGTCTGTAATGAGATCCATTGCCCTCTTCTGGCATGTAGGCACGTATGTGGATAGAGTGCTCATATGTACTTTAAAGTACATAAATAAATCTTAAAAAATAGGAAGAGAGAGAGAAGAGTGGACGACAGAAACATAAGCAAATAAATATCTTTGTGTATGGGCTTTAATGTTGTGAATTGTTTCTAATGGGAATATAAATGTTCAGTGTTGCTGTGGATGACTTTTTTTTTTCCCCTGGAGCTGAGGACCGAACCCAGGGCCTTGTGCTTGCTAGGCAAGCGCTCTACCACTGAGCTAAATCCCCAACCCCAACATTTTATTTTGTTGGAGAATCAGGAACAGGTTCAGAGAAAAGTCCTCTTTGAATGTGTGAGGCTGGGGATGAACTCAGCACTGGGCAGGGGTAAAGAAAAGAAAGCTGCTTGTTCATTATTGTTTACTAAGGAAAATAATTAATAGGTTTTGTTTGACTTATGACATTTAAAATTGAATTTAGGAGCCAAGCATAGTGGCGCACACCTTTAATCCCAGCACTCCTGGGGCAGAGGCAGGCCGATCTCTGTGAGTTTGAGGCCAGCCTGGTCTACATAGAGAGGCCCAGGAGAGCTAGAGGGTCAGGGTCAGAGATCCTGCCTTAAAATAAATAAATAAATAATAAATAAATAGATAGATATTAATAAATAAACATAGATAGATGAACAGACCTCAAGTCCTTGTGCTCAAGCAACTATTCTACTTCTGAGTTACATTCCCAGCACAAAAACAACCATCTCAGGGCTGGAGGGATGGCTCAGTCATTAAGAGTACTGGCTGAGCTGGGCGGTGGTGGCACGTGCCTTTAATCCCAGCACTCGGGAGGCAGAGGCAGGTGGATCTCTGTGAGTTCAAGGCCAGCCTGGTGTCCAAAGTGGGTTCCAGGAAAGACGCAAAGCTACACAGAGAAACCCTGTCTCGAAGAATCCCCCCCCCCCCAAAAAAAAAAAAAAAAGAGCACTGGCTGCTCTTCCAGAGGACCCAGGTTCAATTCCCAGCCTCACATGGCACTGATATCTGTCTGTAACTCCAGTTCTAGGGCTTCTGATACCCTTACACAGACATACATGCAGGCAAAACACCAATGATCATAACATTAAAAAACCAACAACAAAAAACCCAGCCATCGAGGCTGGAGAGATGACTCAGAGGTTAAGAGCACTGGCTGCTCTTCCAGAGGTCCTGAGTTCAATTCCCAGCAACCACATGGTGGCTCACAACCATCTGTAATGAGATCTGGTGCCCTCTTCTGGCCTGCAGGGATGTGTGTGGGCAGAACATTGTATGCATAATAAATAAATAAATCTTTAAAAAAAAAAAAAGGTGTGTACTACCACACTTTGCTACATTAAAAAAAAAAAAAAGCCATCTTTTTTCCCTTTCTTTGTTTTTTTATTTTTTAATGCCTGAGATGGTCTCCATAGCCCATGCTTAGCTCAGACTCACTATGTGGCTAAGGATGACATTGAACACCTGATCCAACTGCCTACCCTCCCAAGGGCTTAGATCATAGGTACATACCATCATACTAGGTTTTCTGTGATGCTGGAGATTGAACCTAGGATTTCCATGCATGCTAGACAAGTGCTCTATCAAGGTATATCTCCAGCTAAGAATTCATTCTTGGCCAGATGTGGTGGCGCACACCTTTAATTCCAGTACTCAGGGAGGCAGAGGCAGGTAGATCTCTTTAAATTGGTTGATGGACCTCCGTAAAATTGAATATAAAGAGATGTTTCTAGAGAAAGAAGTCTAGATGAAGAAATCTGAACTGAGTATGATGGCCCATGCTTGTAATCCCAGCACTCAGGATGCTGAGGAAAGAGTAATGCTACAAGTTTGAGGCCAGCCTAGGTTACAGAGTGAGATGTCTTAATGCATACCAGCCAAGTGATAATGGTGGCACACACAGGTGGCGGGCAGATCTCTGTGAGTCCAAGGCCAGCCTGGTCTACAGAGTGATTTCCAGGACAGCCAAGACTGCTTCACAGAGAAACCCTGTCTTGAAAAACAAACAACAAAACAAAACAAAGCATACTGCAATATTTGGGGTGGACCATGTAGCCAAGCTCTAGTGCCAGGCAGCTTGTTGAAAAGGCCCATGTAGTCTTCTGGGGGGTTTTCTCATGGAGGGTTAAATATATTTGACATCTGTCGATCTCCTTTGCTGCAGGTTCACGGGATGGTTCTATGGGACTCTGGGAGGTGACAGATGATGTATTGACCAAAAGCGATGCAAGACATAATGTGTCACCAGTCCCAGTGTATGCTCACATCACTCACAAGGCCTTAAAGGATATCCCCAAGGAGGATACAAACCCGGACAACTGCAAGGTGCGAGCCTTAGCCTTCAACAACAAGAACAAGGTATGAACTCACCAAGGGACCTCAGAAGCCTGCCCCTTCTGACTTTGTCTTGGGGGATCCTTTCTCCTCCAAGGCAATGCTTGCTGACTTGGCTTTAAACTCACAGGGCACCCTCTTTAGAGGCTAGGACTGCTGGTGAGAAGTTACAATGGACTGTGAAGCTTAAGCCTTTGTCTCTGCTGTGTTTGGCCGGGGTGACCATGTTTGTGGTCTGATTCGGTTTCCCTGAGACCACCCTACTCTGACACTGCCTCATTTGCATGTGCCTTCTCAGGTGCTCTAGTTTGGATTTGGTTTCCATACCTCTAAAAGCTGTCACTTGTTTTTAAGCTCCTCACTTTTCCCTGCTTCCTTTATCTTACACCTGCCCCTGAGTTTCACCTAAATCACTGTGCCAGATCTCCTCACAGTGGGGTTGTAAGCAGAATCTAAACTAGACCCAGGGCCCAGAAAGGAGACAGGCTTCTGCAAAATCTGAAAAAGGCCCCAACTGGACTCATTTTTTAAAACTTTTTCTTATGTATGTGAGTATTTTGCCTGCATCTGTGCATGGGTGTGTGCACACAAGGCCCTGACTTAATCTCGCACACCGGAGCTGAGAAAAATAGCCTTTGGCTTGTGAGCTCTGCTCTAATAGTCTTGAGGATATCAGGGGTCTCTGACATAGGAAGGACATTTTCACCCACAGATGTGTGTTCATGTGATTGTTAGAGACTACACTTGCTTTGCAGAGTTGAATATACTACCTGCTGCAGTCCGTGGGATGAGGTGAAAGCATCCTTGATGTAGTCTCCGGGACAGGTGTGGAAGACAAGAGAGCCCCACCCCTCAGGCTCCTCCCCTGCATATGTGGTACTTTGGTTTGCTGCAGAGCGTAGTATAACTTCCTCTTCATTGCTCTTGTAGGAGTTGGGAGCAGTATCACTGGATGGCTACTTTCATCTCTGGAAAGCTGAAAATACATTGTCTAAGGTGTGAACATGACTTGGTAATTTTATATGATAATTTATCATAGGTTTAAAATACTGTCATTCCTCTAGAGTCAGAGTGGATTTGTCCAAAACACCTTTTCTCCCAAGGTCTAAGAATAAACTTGCATAGTACATGAAGGTGTGAGTCTAGCATGCTTCTCTTGAGGAAAAGTCTGTATCTTTTACATTTACTTGTGAGGCATGATCTGTGTGTAGCCCAGTCTGGTCTTGTGATCTTCCCACTTCTAAAACAGCTCTCAAAGACTGGGAATACTGACAACCAGGCCATGCTTAAGCAGGAAAAGGCCTTTGTTTTGTTACGCTTTGAGACAGGGTTTCTGGGTGTAGCCCTGGCTGTCCTGGAACTTGCTCTGTAGACCAGGCTAGCCTCCAACTCAAAGAGATCTGTCTGCCTCTGCTTCCCGAGTACTGAAATTAAAGGCATATGATACCACCACCCAGCATCTAAATTTTTTTTTTAATTTTGTTTTTCTTTCTTAAAAGATTAGCTAACTAGGTAGCCTTGGCTTGTCTCAAACTCGGGATCTTCCCTCAGCTTTCCAGTGCCAGAATTACAGGAAAGTCTTAAAGAGACCCGAGATTGCAACAACACGGTTAAGGAGAAAACAGATTTATTAATAATACCTGCTAGCAACTTTTTTGTACAGTAGAGTGTTTATGTGGGTCATTAGTCCATGTCTTGTCTGTGCTGCTTACAATATTTGTAAGGAGCTTTTTCTAAAGAGAAAGCAAAGCTCTGGGAATTGACACAGCAGCTTTGCATTCCACTGCCCCTGCCTAGTGTCTTACATAACAGGCAGAGCCTGTAGATTTGCTAGTCCTCGGGGTCAAATAGGAAGGCTGACTCAGGCTCCCTGGGACGGAGTCAGTCCTATAGGTACGCTTTCTCTGGTGTACAGTTCCCATTGCTTGGGAAACTGGCCGAGCGTAGTCAGAAATGCGTCCCTTTATCGGAAGAGCAACAGGGTGAGAGTTAGGTGAGAGTGGTGGCCTGGAATCACTCCTGGAAATAAACTATAGTTCTTGGCTTTTCCTGGCCTTCTAGTTATTTAATTCCAGCCTTACCTTTCCCCCAGCCCACAAGTTACTTCATTTACTTGGTTTTGTCCCTGGCTTAGGTAGGTAATTTGTGTATAAAGGAAGCACACAGAGGTAAGAGCACAAGAATGAATGCCCATTTATGCTAGTTATGGATGTACCTCTTTTCAGCTCCTTTCCACCAAATTGCCATATTGTCGAGAGAATGTATGTCTGGCCTATGGTAGTGAATGGTCAGTGTATGCAGTGGGCTCTCAAGCGCATGTCTCCTTCTTGGATCCACGGCAGCCATCATACAACGTCAAGTCTGTCTGCTCCAGGGAGCGAGGCAGTGGTAAGTCCCTGTGTGTTCCTTCAGGCTTAACCACTACATTGCAAATGGGTTTTCCCTTTTGTTTCTTCTTTGACTTCCAAACAAGAATAGTAATCTGTGTGTAGCATGTACAAGTATTTGGTGACAGAAGAGAGGAACTTACTTACCTGCATGTGGCAACAGAATGTCCAGGCTGAAGAAGCCTTTGGTATGAACCACCGTGAGGAGATAAGCTTTTAGCACTAGTTCCTTGGGAAGTTTTTGCTGGGGCCCTGCCTGAGCTAAAAGTCTTACGTACTGACCTGGTAGAAGGAGTTAAGGAGTATGAGGTCACTTTTGGATGTGATGATAAGTACGTAGTGTAAGGTACAGATACACCTCAAGAAGCTGAAGAAAGTATGGGTTTTAGTTCTGTCAGTGGGTCCTAGGTCTTAGCATCTAACACTGGATTGTGGCTAGGAACCAGACCCAGGGCTCTGTGCTTGTTTGAACTGCTCTGCCTCTGAGCTGTACCCGTAGCCCCCAGCTGCTGTTCACACAGGATATTCTAGAACCATCACTTCTTTTCTTTAGTGGAAGAGACCCGTGCTGGTACTACACTAACAGTTCAGAATACTTCCTTCCTGAGAACTCACTTCTTCCCACCAAGAATCCTGTGGAGAGCAGATGAGAAAAGTTAACAGTTAAGACGACTTACTGCTCTTCCAGAGAACCTGAGTTCAGGTTCCAGCACTCGCATTGAATGGCTCACAGCTTCCTATGACATCAGCTCCATGGGATCTGTCATCCTCTTCTGGCTTCCATGGCCAGCAGCACTCCTGTGTACACACACACAGAGTACACAGTACACAGTGATTTTTAAAAACACAGAAGCTGAAGCGGTGGTGCACACTTTTTTTTTAATGTGCATTGGTGTTTTGCCTGCATGTATATCTGTGTAAGGGTGTCAGATAAGAACCTCTGGAACTGGAGTTACAGTTTTGAGCAACCATATGGGTGCTGGGAATTAAACCTGGGTCCTCTGAGAGAGCAGCCAGTGCTCTTGACTGCTGAGCCGTCTCTCCAGCCCCTGGTGCACACCTTTAATCCAGCATTTAGGAGGCAGAGTCAGGCCAAACTCCCTGAGCACTAGGCCAGCCTGGTCTACAGAGTGGGTTCCTGGACAGCCAGGGCTACACAGAGAAGCCCTGTCTCGAAAAACAAAAACAAACAAAAGGAACAGTGGGGGTTACAGTTTAGCCTCTTTTTCAAACAGTGTTGTTTCTGTGTAGATATTACGAAAGCGGTTTTGGTTTTGTTTATTGTTGGAGAAGGTGGGTGCCATGATGCTGATTGGAAGTCAGAGAACAGTTTGAGGGAGTTGTTTCTCTCCTTCCATGGGAGTTATAGGAATCAAACTTAGGTGGTCAGCCTTGACACCCTCTCACCAACGCTAGGATCTATTTGCAAGTAGTTAAGATGTATAAATTTAGACTAGAGGACAGTGGATATAATGAAAGCTGGAGAAGGAATAGGGTGTAGCTGGAATAGCATACAATGAAAAGTTTTATTATTGTCATCATCATCATTATTATAACTGTTTTGTTTTTGAGACAAGGTCTCACATAGGTATCTTTGGCTACCTGGAATTTGCTGTGTCACAGGCTGGCCTTGAATTCACAGATCTGATTCCCTGCCCCTCCCCCTCCACAGTACTGGAATTAAAGGCATACACCACCATACCCAGCTTTGAAAGGATTTTGGTTACTATTCATGGAGGCAGCTTGCATGAGGAAATACTAGTTCACAAAGGTTCCTAGCTCCACACAGATGCCAAGAGGTACCTTTTGCCCTGTACTTACTTAGTCACAGATACAGCAGATGTATTTTCCCTTTGATCCAAAGTAGTTGGTAACTTGCCGTAAATAACATAATACCAAATCCTTCCTGTAGGGCCATGCTGGTAACAGGAAGATAATAGTGAGCTGTAGTATAAGTAACGTGATGGAGCAGAGCCAATAGTTAGGAGAGATGACTCCAGTGCTACTCAAGGGTATGGCATACAGAGAATGTCAGACACACGATCTTTGGCAGAAAACAACGTGGATATTCCCAGCAATGTGGCTTATTAGCAGAGCGTCCTGTTTAGACATTGGCACAGTACCATCTGATATTTGGGTCATACTGTCCCTGATTGCTCTGTGCTTTTCTTTCTCAGGGATCCGATCAGTGAGCTTCTATGAACACATTATCACTGTGGGCACAGGGCAGGGCTCCCTGCTCTTCTATGATATCCGAGCACAGAGATTTCTGGAAGAGAGGCTCTCAGCTTGTTATGGGTCCAAGCCCAGGCTGGCAGGGGAGAATCTAAAACTAACTACTGGCAAAGGCTGGCTGGTGAGTAAGCTCAACCCCAAGAGGACGGTTGCTTGCCGTGGAGGGGGCGTCTTCCCTCTGCCTCCCTCTTCACTTTTCGCTGTTGACATTCCTTAGAGCAGAGGAAAGCCCGTTCCCGACTTTGTGTTTGTGGCCGCGCATATTGGCCCTGGGGAAATGGAGGCCCAGTGGGTTGGTGGAAGTAAACGCTTGTCATCTCAGCACTCTGTAAACTGAAGGAAGATTGCAGAACAGAATGAAAGACGCAGTCAGATATGCTGATGCCTTAAGATTTTCTCCAAGTAACAGTGGCAGAAGGATAAGAACTTCCTGTTGCTGCCGCCAGCGAGTTATCATGAACAAGTTTGACTGCGGAAAGCTGAAGGTGAAGACTTTCAGCACAATAATTTTTTATCCTGTTTAGTTGGGAAAATGAGACCAGTTTCCATGAAAACCGATCGTGTGACATCAGGTCGTGGGTATAGAGCCCTCTCCTCTGGCAGAGACCGGAAGTCAGTCCTGTCCCTTCCTGTCCTTTCCTAGCGGTGCTAACAGTCTACTTCTCTTCCCACAGAATCATGATGAAACCTGGAGGAATTACTTTTCGGATATTGATTTCTTCCCCAACGCTGTTTACACCCACTGCTACGACTCGTCTGGAACGAAGCTCTTTGTGGCAGGAGGGCCCCTCCCTTCTGGGCTCCATGGAAACTATGCTGGACTGTGGAGTTAATGACAACTAACTTTCTCCCAAAATGCAGATTTACACTAACTTCCACCCTCGGTTTCCTGTCTTTTGATTCCCCCACTGTGGAAGCTTTTCTGTGTAGTTCAGACAGCAGTTTGCCAGTTCAGGCAGTCCCTAGGAGGAAGCTATGCGGAAACCCAAAAGGTGGGGCTTTTCTTTAGTTGCTTGGTGGTTTGTTGTTTTGGGGTTTTTGTTAGTTTGTTTGGTAGATATTTTTGTTGTTTCCCCTTTCAGTAATCAGAATGTATCCCCACCTTCTGCTTTCTCAACCAAACATTGTTACAAATCCCTGTTTTAATTTTTTCCTTAAGTGACACACCTCTCCTTTCTTTGGCTTCTTTACACTGAAATGACAAGGTCATTCTCACCCTTACTTCACTTGAGAGGTAGGGCCCCTTTATAATTATGTGGTAGCTGTCAGACTTTCTGTGAAAGTTTGGGAGCCTTGTGTGTGTGTGTGTGTGTGTGTGTGTGTGTGTGTGTGTGTGTGTGTGCGTGCGCGCGTGTGTGTGCGCGTGTGCCTGGTGGTACTGTCACTGATACTACTCGGAGTGAGGATTATCTGTATTAAAGTATTTATAAAAGAAACAACTTTACTCAGAGTCCAGTTTAGGACTAGCCTGTATCTTTTTTTAAAGTCTGACATTGTAGGAAGTGAAAACTTAGAGAAACAAATCCCACCAGGAAAACCCTTGGGTTAGAGTAGCAGCCTTGGGGGGTGGGGGGAGGCTTCATGCCAGGACTCCACAGTGACCCACCCCTGCCTGTCCTTCCCACCCATGTATCCCCAAGAAAGAATGCCTGTATATGTGTTACTTCCGCTTCCTAACCTCCTATCTGCTTAGCCCAGGTCACTTGGCTAAAACATCAGGTGCATCTCTGGGACTGTAGAAGGCTTCCTGGTAGAGTATCCTCTCCCCAGTCTCCTCCTGCCTCTGCTTGGGGTCTGATCTGGCCAAGAGCAGGAAGTCTGAAGCTCGGCATGGTGGCCATTCATAGTCCTATGACTTACAGGGAACTGTTCCATTCCTGGGGTTTTGCTGGTATTTTCTAACTGGGTTCTGTTCAGGAAGGTGTGATTTGTGGTGAGTGCTTTGTGTGGGGGCTGTCTGTTTTCTCAGTGCAGTGGAGCTTAGCATTGGAGGTCACGCTCCTGCTCTGTTGGCTCATCCCTGGGGTAGCAACAGGGTGGCTGTGATAGCCTCACTGCATGCAACAGCATCGATGGGATTCGTACTTGGCGTGTTCCTCTCTTGAACTATTTATATTTCGTCTGAGGCTTTTTAACTTGCAGGCAACTGAGCGTAAGCCAGTTGTTCTCTCCACACATCATGTCGGAAGGAACTTTTATCCGCCCTAGTCCTGCTGAGGCGTGCAGTGCTGGTCTGGCAGCACCCAGGCCTGAGAAATGAAGTCATCGTCCTGCATCCAGTTTCTCAGTCGCTCCCAGTTCTCCCAGTTTCTCTTTGTGTCAAGAGAGTGTCCTGATAATGGCAGGGACTGCTGGGGAAGGGAAGCGGCGGCCCACATGACAGTACACAGCATACGCCACAGGATTCAGAATCATCATCCTATAATCTACAGAAATAGGTGCTATGAACAGGAAATTAAGCAAAATGCTGGATGCTATGACTCTTTTGTCTTAATTTTTTTTCTATTATTAAACTACAGGCTGTAGATTTCTTAGTTCTCACAGAACTTGTCATTTTAAACTGACTTGTATATTTAAAAAAAACAAAAATCTTGAGTAGGATGCTTTGTGCCGTGGCCAGACCGTCTCCTGTGATGCATTTGTTTGAGATTTTCTGTTTTTAAAATGTAGCATTTGAATTTTTGCCAAGGAAAAATAAATACTATCCTAGTGCAGAGCTGTTTGAGTGAATCTATATGGCAGGGAAGCTGCAGGGACGGACTACCCAGAGGACTGTTGAGGGCATGCTGGGCTTTGTCAAGGTTAGAGTACCTGCAGTGGCTTGCTCCTGCTCCCCAGCTCTGGGGCAACACTGGTGCAGCTGAGGGTGGCTGTGCCCAGAGGAAGTAGTGTAGTGCAGGAGAGGAACAAAACTGACTAGCTCCAGAGTAAGTCAGGGTCACTGGTGGACCTTGAGAATGACAGAAAGTATGACAGGAAGTGGCTTCATCGTGGCCTTTTTGTAACTGGAACCACGGATCTTCAATGTTCTTCATAAGGTCGGACACGGTGGCCACAGTGACTGATGGTCTTCCCAAAGCTGTGGGGAAAAAAGTGCTAAGTCCTACCGGCTTCATGCTGCTAACTCTACAAGAGCCAGCAGTGCTAGGGCACTGAGCCTAAAAAATGTAGTCCTAGTCCTCTGCCACATGGCACTTAACTGCCTTCCGAGCAAACAAGCTAGAGTTGTGTTTACACTTATACTATAGGCTAATTCAGACCAAACTCACATCGGGACCTCAGTGCTCAAAGACTTCGAGATGGGAAGGATGTGAGGGTTTGTTGAAGCAATATGAGAGCACTCCTAGAAAAGAGTGACGTTTGGACAGGGCCTGGAACCACAAGCTCCTGAGAGATGGTGTTTGTATACTATTCCATTTTGTGGAGGAAATGAATAAAACAAGCATCAGGGTAGAGGGATGGCTCTGTAGTTAAGAGCATTTGTTGCTCTTGCAGAGGACCTGCCTTTGGTTCCTATGGTGGTTCGAAACCATCTGTAACCCCAGTTCCAGGGGATCCAATACTCTTTTCTGAAAATGAGGGCAGCAGGCATTCACATGTCACACACACGTCACGTGTACATATAATGCAGGTAAAACACTCATCATACACATGAAAAAATCTTACATTTGGGCTAGAGAGATGGCTCAGTGGATAAGAGCACTGGCTGTTCTTCCAGAGGTCCTGAGTTCAGTTCCCAGCAACCACATGGTGGCTCACAACCATCTGTAATGAGATTTGGTGCCCCTCTTCTGACCTGCAGGCATACATGCAGGCAGAACACCGTGTACATAATAAATAAATCTTTAAAAAAAAAAAAAAAGTTTTAAAAAAAATCTTACATTTTCTTAAAAAAATCACCTTTTAAAAACGATCACTGAGCTGGGTGGTGGTGGCACACAACAACAAATCATTGATGGGCTGGTGAGATGGTTTAGAAGTTAAGAGCACTGGCTGCTCTCAGAAGACCAGGGTTCAATTCCCAGAACCCACATGTCAGCTCACAATTGTCTTACCTCTAGTCCCAGGGGAATCAGATGCCCTCTTGTGGCCTCTGCTATGCAGTGCGTATGCAGACATACATGCACATGCAGGCAAAGCACACATACATACAAAAGTAAGTGTTAAAGAGATCTAAGAAAAAAGATTACTGGGGTGCTAGAGAGATGGCTTAACAGTTAACAGCACTGGCTGCTCTTCCAGAGGACCTGGGTTCAAATCCTAGCACTCACATGGCTAAAAAACTAAGTCTGTAACTATAGTTCCCAGGAGTTCCAACACACACAGACGTACATGCAGGCAAAACACCAATGTACACACACAAAACGTCTTTACCAGGCTGGAGAGATGGCTCAGAGGTTAAGAGCACTGACTGTTCTTCCAGAGGTCCTGAGTTCAATTCCCTGCAACCACATGGTGGCTCACAGCCATCTGTAATGAGATCTGGTGCCCTCTTCTGGCCTGCAGTCATACATGCTGTATACATAATAAATAAATCTAAAAAGTCTTTACCAGTGACCACTTCTTTTATGAGACGGACTTTGGCACTGAGCTCACTATCTAGCCAAGGATGACCTTGAAGTCTGATTTTCCTGCCTCTGCCTCCTAAGTGCGGGGGATTACCAGTATGCACCACTACACCCCCGTCATCTTCCTCCCGAGTATTTAGAATGTCACTGCAGGACTCAGGTCTATGAAACATGCTCAGAGAAAGGTGCCTTAGCAGATAGGCAGTGGACTTGCCCTCAACCTCTGGCCTCCGTGGATTCTTGGCCTACTCCCATTTTCCAGTCAGACTGTAGCCAAATACATAGCACAGAAGGGCTTTGTGGACTTCCTGGTGCCACTTCCTGCCAGCAGCCTCTCCTGCCAGCCATGAAAGAATTTCCTTGTTCATTTTCAAGCATGTGCTGCCTGCCTCATTCCAGATGAGCTGCTGGCTCCTCCCATCATGCCTTGGGTCCTTTGCTGAAGAGAATCCCCTAGCCCATCAACACTCATTAATGTTCCCATTCCCCTAACAGTCTTATTTGAGGTGACTGAGGCCCTGCCCAGCCTGGTATTCACTGAAGAGCCCAGACTGGCTCTGAAGTAATCCACCTTAGCCCCTCAGTGCTGGGTTTACAGGCGTGAAGGACCACGCCTGACCAGTTAAGAATTTTTAGAAGGTACTATTCCTACTCATTATCTGAGCTCAGCCTGTTTACTATGCTGCTTATTAACTGTATCTAGATCTGTAATTAACATCCTAGTGCTGTGGGCGGGAAGAAAACCTGTCAACCACTGCCTTCTCCCTTCACTTGTGACTACCTTTCTTAATAAGGAACGACCCAGTCAGAGGACTGGAAATAATGAAGTGCCTGTTCTCTGAGTGCTAAGATGTAGATCCTAAGTGTCCCCCAGGTTCATGTAGTAAAGGCTTGGTCCTCGGTTGAGAGGCTATTGTTATGTGGTAGAGTCCTCTAGGAGGTGGAAGGAAACTACATCATGGGGCTGTGTCCTTGAAGACACAGGACCCTCTGCCTTTTCCTTTCTACTGTCAAATCTCTTCTCAGCAGCTGCTGTTCTCTGTCACACAGTCCCAGCTACAATGTCCAGCTTTGCCACAGGCCCTAAAACAATGGGTCCAGCTGCCTATGGAGTAACTTCAAGAAAAAAGGATACCTGAAAGCCTCAAGGAAGAAAATGAAATGAAATAAACAAGCCAGGTTTGGTGTAACTGTAATGCTTGAGAGATGGGAGCAGAAGGATCAGGAATTCACGGGAAGTCCTCAGCTACATAGTTCAAAGCCAGCCTCGGCTACATGATACCTTGTCTCCCAACACAGCAGAAATAATGATAACCAGGGGCTAGACATGGGAGCACAACACTTGAATCCCAGCATTCAGGAGGCAGAAGTCCATGGATCTCGAGTTGGAGGCCAGCCAAAGGTATACAGTGAGACCCCATCTGAAAGAACAAAAGGTATCAGACCTCATAAATGGTTTATCCCTGGTATTTTGTGGTAAGGGCATTTGCCAATGGCATAGTTGATTGCCGTGGTGAGAGGTATGTGGCAGGTTTGTGTCCTCAATGTGGTCACCCAATAAACATCTTCATAGCAACCTTTCTGCCCTCTATTATACTAAGAATACAAAATTATCACTGTAATGATCATATTTAGAGTTCCATCACTAGATATTTTTTAATTTTGCTTTTTGAGATAAGGTCTCCGATAACCACACAAACTAACTCCTGCCTCCAAAATCCAAGTGCTGAGATTATGTGTGTGTGCCTGGCTTGGGCCTTTTTCTTAAGATGTGGAGTGTATTTTAAGGTACTAACAGATTTCCTGAGAAAGGATACCCACCCCTAGGTGCCATCAGCCAACAGTGAGTATCGACGGAGAGAGAAGGGATCGGTTCTAGCTGCACAGCTGCTTGGGACAAAATGAGTCCCTCTGCTGGATGACAGCGTTTCTCCTCTGGTGGTGCTCAGACCAGCAGCCAGGCAGGGTGGTGCACACCTGTAACCCCAGCACTGGGAGGCTGAGGCAGGACGAGTAGTTACCTGTGAGTAGCTATATAGTTCAAGGACAGATTGGGTAACAGGAGACAGCCTCAAAAAATCAGCTGGGTGTGGTAGCATACTCCTGTCATCCCAGCACTGAGGAAACAGGCAAGAGGATCTGACAAGTTTGAGACTCGCTGTCTACATGGTGAGTGCTGGGCCATATAGCAATACTTGTCTCATAGAGTCCCATTAAACAAAGAACAAGGGCTAGGGATATAGCCCAACTGTAAAACACTTTGTCCAGCATGCACGAAGGCCTAGGTTTAATCCCCAGCACAAACAAAATAACAGCAAACTAACAACTCCTACCCAAAATAAGCTAGGACTATGGCCCACTCTTGTAATTCCACCATTGGGGAAACTGAGACAGGAGGATTGTAAGTTGAGTTCAATTCCTAGTATGGCATACTGGGTGCTGTGGTGGGTGGCACCTGCTTGTACCCTAGCACACAAAGACAGAAGGATCAGAAACTCAAGATCCACTTGAGAGGCAGAGACTATTGGATCTTTGAATTTGAGGCCAGCCTGGTCTATAGAGCGAGTTCCAGGACAGCCAGAGCTATTACACAGAGAAACCCTGTCTGGAAAAACAAAAAGTTCAAGGTCATCAGGCCAGTTTAGGCTAAATAAAACCCTAAGGCCCCCCCACGTAAAGTGGTTACAATGAAAGCATTCTCCCTTTCTCATTCTCCCCCTCCCTCCTTCCATCTCTCTCCCTCCTCCTCCCCACTCCTCTCTTTCTGCACTCTGTAGAATCATATGTATCTATATGAAGAGGTCAGCTCCCTCTCACTCCCCCAGGGCACTCTTGAGCAGAGAGAAAGGAGGATTTGTAGATAGGATAGAGAGAGACAGAAAACACAGGATAGCCTCGGGAGGACCTGGGTCAAAACCCACCGGCCCCTTCTGTCTCTACTAAGGGGCTTTTAAAGGAATGCCAAGGGGTGAGGCAAAAGACCTCCCCCAGCACAGCAAGTGTAGACCATCCCAGACACCTGGTGACCACGCACGTGGTCCAGCCATCCCCTAATGCAGTCCTGCTGTGTAAAGCAAGCTCCAATCTCACTAGGAAACATTTGTGGGCTCCCACATCTATACACACAACAGAAATCTAAACTATCACT